TCAGTGCTGTCTGGATTCATATCACATATATTACCGTAATTCTCAAATGGGCACTTGCACTAATAGATGATTTTACTCCAAAGCCAACCATTTCACACCTTCATTTTCTTTATATCTGCACCACCCTCCTTGCTAACACTAGGGTAAGGAACAGCAGCAATTTCATAAAGAAAATAGAATTGCAAAAGCTCGACAAAATCAACTCTTAAAAGAACTCCATATATGAGTCTCATTAGTGTGTCTCCATGGAAAGCAGTATTTACAATACCTTCCCACCCATCTGTAACCTTGAGGCCACACAGATTGGGAGGCATTCTTTCCTGCCTCCCACTATGGCATTTAGAGATACTACCACCCTTGCCTTTCCCTGTCACATCAGCCATGGTCCTCTTCATGCACCTCTAATTTCCCATCACACATTGCTTGTAACATCAAAGTTCTCCATTTCCCAGCTACAACAAGACTCTGCCCTCCCTCAGCTTGTGTGTGCCTTTCAGATACATTTCCAGTACAGGTGGAATAGTTGGTAGAGAGTCCTTCGACCCTCTTCCTCAAAAGGCACCCTGTGTTCCTAAACACTCTGTTTTCTGGGGATGAGTGGAGGAGACAGCCAAGCCATCAGGCTGGTGTAGGGTATGGAGAGTGAAGACAAAGTGAGAGCGTAGACACTGCCTTTTGTGCAGGCACCCTTAGTCTCTGGCTCTGAAACCCTTATAGACAGCCAGACATCCTCATCACATAAGCTTCCCTAAGACAGATCACAGATCTACACCCACCTTGTGAAACAGAAGGGCTTTGTGATGCAATCTAATGGCCTGGTTCCATTGTCTGTGAGGCGGAGATGACAAGGCATAGCATTGGGGGTCATTAGGAACCAGGATCCTGAATTCCTTGATACAGGGATGTCTGGTCTTCTCATGCTAATGAGGTTTAGACCATGTTGAGCCATACCTTTGTTCTGTGGGATATTGGATATTCCTTATATACCTATGGCTCCATCTTCATTATTATCCTAATTATCTGGCAAGTGAAAAGGAGTTACCATGGATTAACTTTGGAACCTAAAAGGAGCTGCTGCTGGGTAGGGAAACACTATGACCACAATTGAATTAATTAAGCCTCAGCTAAAAAGCTTATAAGACCTCAAAGACTCTCCTTCTGCCAATTTTTATACCATACGTTCAATTACTCTAACACGATACTTCTCTTCTCAGATCCTAGAAATGATTCCTTACCAGCCCATCTCTGCAGTGTATTCTAATTGAAAAATTAAGGGTGTCTCTATCTACCTTGGGTTGAAATCTAGATGAAATGGAATCTACCTCACCATCTCAGAAGAGATCTCCCAATAAAGGGGATTCTTCTGGTTGGTGGTACATTAAGGTATTTATAAGCAGAAGTCTTCTGTCTGGTAGAACTGCAAACCCTTTAATATGTTCCACTCTTTCTTTTGTTCATCATAAACCTCATGTAGAATTTCTCCTAAAAATAAATGGGAGGTACAGAGTATGGATAGCCCTAAAATGAATAGAAGCAAACAGAAAAGAGAAATGTTGGAGTAGAAAAGATGGAATACAGAAAGGGAAGTTATCAAAGTAAATAAAATACAGATAAATAAAAAGGGATTGGAAAGTGTATATTAGCTTTAACTTATTTTGGACATGAACAAGAAATGGTGCCCCATCTTCACACATTAACTTTTTTGTCTTTAAGCGACACCGAAAAGTCAGGCAAAGAACTAGAGATGCAGCATCAAGAGGTAAAGTACATTTTCTTCTATGACTGGCCTCTATTGTGAATGAGATCCCCATAGATCCTGTCCTTCTTTGATTTCCAGTGTCAAGAGCCAGGTGCTCTAATTACCGAAGGGTCCAGTTCTCCAAGTTGACAAATTCTCCCAGAATAATTCCTTGGGTGGGAAATCTGGGCCTGAGAATGTTCCAAAATTCTCCACTTTACCTACAGGGAATAGAATGAGGAAGTAGGGAGGAAGTCTTTTATGAGTTTTACGACCCTGTGTATGTTACTTCATCTCTGTCTTTTATCCATGAAATGGGCATCTGAACATCCTGTCTCAGTCACAGTGTGGTTGTGAAGGACTAATAGGATTAGCTCAGGGACAACACATGGTAACTGGTTAAGTCGTACCCAGACATGCCTTAGAGCATCGACTATTGGGGTTTTCAGTCTCTTCTCATTCAAAGACCTTCAGCTGTCTATAGGATATCCATGAAGCCTCTCCTGTTCCACATAACACTGTCTCCTGGTTTCTCAGCTAGGGGAATTTCCTGGAAAGAAGCTGAGAAGCCATGGGAGCTGCTCTCTATCATGAAAAGGTGATCTCTTGCTCTTCCTAGTCTCCCAACTCTGGCCTGGCCTGTGATGAATTTCTGTGCTTGCCCTGGGGCAGGGATGAAGAGAGGGATAATGGCTGGGAGGGAGCCAGACACAGTGGAGGCTGGAGCACTGGTTGAGAGGGTGCCAGGACAGAGCGGGGTTCAGACATCTCAGAGAGGAGTCTCCCAGTTCTGCTCTGAGCTAGGCTCACAGTGCTCCTGCAGTTCAGGATTTGACTGTTGCATAATTCATTAAACACTCTCTGTGGGTTTGCACTCAGCCACAAGACAAGTTATGCAGGCAGGAGAATGGATAAATATGGGTATCAATAAGTCACCATTGTCATAGTCTGTTTACAGCCACACCCTTTCAAGGACAGGCCCTGGACCCTGTTGACATTAGCTCCTCTGATTCTGTCTTCAAAGAGGCCAGTTCATGGGACAACCCTCAACCAGGAGCTTATGATCTCATCCTCTTCTTAAAAACTCTAGAGAATGGGATTGTCTCAAGATGTGTTGTGTAAACCTTATTATCCCAAGAAAGGAGAGTTCCCACAAGGACCTCATTTTCCAGTTTGGAAACTCTACCTACCAGACTATAGCCTTCTTAGCCCCAAACGAGCCAGACTCTAGGTTCAACCTGGTGATGACCCTGGTGATGCCCCATCAGCCAGCCATTGGCTCCCCATCCTTGTTCTCGTCTCCTGGTTTAGCTTCTCAACAGAGGCCAACAGAGGACTCACACCACCTCCCAGTCTCCAATGTCCCTGTGCTCCCATGGATTGTCTGATACCTTGCCCAACAAGCCCCAGACCTTCAGCCAGCACCATCACAAATTGCCAAATGGCATTTTTCTAGAAAAAAAGTAGAGAAGTAAACACCTAGGAGATGCAGACCCCGGGGCTTACAGGACTAGGAGAGGACAGGGCCATCTCCAGGAAACATACTTCCAAAGAGGCACTTGTCATTCCATCATTAACTGTTGCCATGTTTCCTCTCCCAGCCAGGACTGGCTTCCTCAGGAGGGAAGTGTGCGGAAGCTTCTTTGTGCAGATACCTGCTGCCAAATCTGTAATGCTTTGGCTCTAGAGATCCAGCATTTGTTAGCAGGTGAGAATACATTGATCTCTCCCACTTCATCGGGGCCATCGCAGGGCTCCTCTTGCCCAGAGGTTTTGTCCATGTCTAATGTATATTTTGAGCAGAGTCTGGAGCACTATTCTACATTCTCCAAAGAGCTTTCACTTACATCTGAAATCCCTTCAGTGTCACAAATAATAGCTCATAAATCATTAACCAAGTCAGCTGCCTGGTCAGCTGGTTCCATCAGCAACCAAGATTATTGGGCTGAACACCTCCAGCTAAGACAGGCATTTCAAGTGCCAGAGATGCCCAGGGGCCCAGAGACTATGTCTTCTTCAGGGTTGGAGGGGACTAGGATTCCAGTGAACCAGGAGGAGCTGATGCAGCACAACCTCAATCTTCTCTATGGGAACCAAGGTCAGCAGCCTTTAAATTCCCAGGTCTCTCTGCTGACCCAGAACCAAGAAAGCACTACGCTGACACAACCTATGGCCTTGCCTGTGGTCGCTATCCTCCCTGCTCACATGTCATTCCTCAGTCCTGAAGTACTGAGGCTTCTTGAGGTACATGTAAAAAAATGGATGCATTTCCAGAGGTGGGGGCTGCCCAGACGTGTGGAAGAGTCCCTGAGGCAGCTTATGCCAAATCCACCATTATTGTATCAACCTGTAAATAACCAGCCAGTTTCTTTCATCCAGAATGATACTTCTGAGTTCTCTGTAGACAACCTTGGGACCATTTCCTACCAGACTTGGGGATCATGCATGGCTGGCCAGGCTACCCAGGCATTCTGGGTTTCTGAATGGTCCACTATGGACCAAATACAAACACACTACTACCAGCCAACCCCAAACCATGTGGCTCTAGCCTCGCCCTCTCCAGCCCTTAAAGACTTAAGTGGCCTCTCTCCACATTCTGGGCAACAGGCTAATGACTCAGTGGGCCATCTGCAGCAGAAATACAGCCAGCTATTCTGTGGACTCCCTTCTCTGCACAGTGAGTCCCTCGTTGACACTTCCTTGGGCTCTCAAGGCCTCTCCAGCAACGGGAGCATGTCCAAGCTCCCCTTGAAGGACCCTTTTCTCTTCAAGGAGCTCTCTTTCCTCCCTCTGCTGCCTAAAACTCCACCTCAGTCAGCCTCCCCCTCTTCCCAGTCCTCCCCAAATTGGGTCACTCCATCTGACCAGCAAGGAGCTCAGATCAATGTCCCATTTCTGACTCTGGCCGAGTGTGAAGCCTTGGAATGGCACCTGCTACAGAGGCAGCTCCAGCTTCAGTGGGGTTTGCCAGCTGTTTTTCAGAGATCTCAGTACACCCAGAGCCCCGTGCAGTATGAGCCTTGTGACGAATCCCAGTCTCTTGAGACTGTGAAAACTTCCTGGCCAGAGAGGCCCATCTCTGTCCTCACAAGGGAACTACTCTTCTTCCCGGAGCATGCCCGGAGGCTGCTGGAATTCCACCTCCAGAGGCAGTTGATTCATCATCGCTGGGGCCTACCCCAGAAAAGCCAGGAGTCTTTCCAGTTGCTCCTGTCCCCTGCTCACCAGCAGACTCTGCCCTGGAGCAGTGCAGCCCTAGCCAATATGAGTGTTGCCCAATCCTCAGCCCTAGAAGCCACTGGTGCTGGTGACCCTTTCTCAGCCTTTGAGGACCCAATGTCAGTCCCCATGCCGTGCTTGTTTGATCAAGCTAAGGCAAAACTACAGAACCACATCACCTCCAAGTGTGGACAGATCCACAAGGGCAAGGTCCCTGCCCATGTTTATAGGTCTTGGGCATGCATAATTCCTGGGAGTCTAGAAGAGGTTCCCCCGACCTGCATCCCAGAAAGCAAGAACCTGGAGCTACAGGCAGCAACTGACCCTGACCAACAACAGAAAGTTATGCCTTGGATGCCACCAGCCCCCGGTCAGCAGCAACAGTCCTCACCGGATGCTGTCATTGAACATCCTAAGCTGCCCCAAGCCCTGTCCGAGGAAGCCATCGAGAAACTGGAGACGACTTTACGGCACAAGTATCTGGCCTTCTTGTCAGGGCTCCCTGCTCTTTATTATGTGGCTCTCTCCAAGGCCATGGCCCCAGTTATCGATACTCAACCTATAATCACAGAGGTGGTGCCTGAGCCTGTCAAAATCCTAACAGAACCTCTGACTCAGATGATCTCAAGTGAAGAGCAGTGTCTAAGTCCTGAGCCATGCTTTCAAGATGCCAATGAGACTTGTACAGACACTGCAGATGAGTCCCAGGCTGAAGAGCAGGTGGAGGGAATGACCGAGATGGAGCCTCCAAAAAGCGAGACAGAGCCTGCCAGCCCCTACTCACTTAAGAAAGCTTTCTTGGCCAAATTAAATTTCCACCTGAGAAAGAAGATCCTAGAGATACAATGGGGAATTCCCATAAAGGCAAGGGAGTCCAGGGAACAAACCGTAGCAATCCCAGAGAACACATCCACACAGGAGTCTCTTGGGAGTCCGGACAACCAAGGAAAAACATTGCTCCAGGAGCTCCCCATCCCACCAGACACTCCTCTTGCCCCAGATCCAGAATGGCTCCATCTTAAACAACAACTGACCATTGAGTTAAAGGCAGTGCAAGAAAACCAGAAGCAACCTAGTTCCAGAGCAGCATCCAATGGTTCTGCTCACTCGTCCTCCAAGATTTCACCACCCAGTGGGGACATGACAGAGGCCCAGGTACTTTGTGTTCAGCTGGAGGCCAGTGTGAACAACCCTGGCCTGGAGGAGCCCGGGAGCACTGAGCCCCACAGCCCTGGCAAGAGCAAGGGCTTAGCCCAAGACCCCACACTGGCAGAAAAGGGAGAGGACCCAGGGAAACTCAAATTGGCAGGAGACCATGGAGGAGATGCAGGGTTTGTGCTGTCTACAAGAGACGAAAGCTGCCTTGCCGAAGTCCAGAGGCCAGAAGGGATGCTTCTGAGCAGGACGCCTCATAACCCAAGGCGACGAAAACACATCTTTCATCTTGGTGCTCCCTGTCAACAAAGTCTCCAGTATTGCTCTCAGCTTCAGCTCTCAGAGCTACCTCCAGCAGGAAAGGAATCTGAGAAGAATGACCTGCGAGACAGTCAAACTAGGCTCAGTGGCATCCTCAAATCAGCCAAGATTCCTGAGAATGCCCAGCCTGCGGGGCCACAGGCATCACAGGGTCAGCCTTTCCTGGGTCATCTCATCTATCATAAGCCATTGCAGGGCCAAACTTTGCAAGGGAAGGTTTTGCAGAGGCAGCCGATGCCAGCTCATACTCACAAGAGGCCCGGCCTTCCAGATTCAAACTTGAAAAATAAAATGAAAATCTTTCTGCAATGTATTAATGTCAAGACAAAAGGCAAAGTGCACAAGGAATCCATGTTCTTGACAGCTGAGAAAGTGGCCAATACCAGAAAAGAAAATGTAGAAAAGAGGCTAGCTACAGCCAAAAGTCCCACGGGGCAAACTAAGGCAGAGAAGACAAGAGGTGACCCCAAGGCCCAGTCTCCCCCCACTGAGAAGCAGGTGGGCCTGGCCGTCTCAGATGGTCCCCATTCCCCAGGCAGTAAGCTCCGGCACCGCTCTATCTCCCATCAATTCCACTCTGCCTCAGTGTTGGACCACCACCGCCACTGCCTTCGGCACTGTCCTCGAGTGGCTTGTGCCACCCATCCAGGAAATCCACCCTAAATTTCAACACTCACCTCAGAGGGAAATGTTGGTGTGTTCAAGAAGACCCAGCACAATCAAAAGACTTTGTAGGCTCCCCAGCCTCTGCATCCCTTGAAGAGGGCTGCTACTGTTATTTTCATTAATGTGCAGGTGGGTCAGAACGCCACCCAAAATACAATCTATATCTCTAAGCAGAGTTGTCTGTCTGCTCCTTCTCTGCACTGTGGTGTGTTAAGGGAAGGCAAGAGGGATGTTAAAATGTCCTTCCTATCTAGGGAAGGAACTTTAACTCACCCTTAAGGCTGGTCAGCATTCCACACAGCTCCTCCAAGCCCTCCCCTGAACAGTGGATAAAGGGACTTAAGCAGAGAAGGATGGCCTTTGTCTAAGGTCAGTTGAAGGTAAAAGTCAGACTTGAATTCTATCATGGCTTCCCAGGGTGTCCTTGGGACCAGAGGAACAATGTGGACATGAGAATAGTACTGACAAGGAAGAATGGCCAGGTATCCCACAGGCAAAATTCATTGATGACTCTGTATACAGCCACATCCGGAGAGGAGCCTTTTAGAGGAGTGCTCCAGCCTTGAGGAGGTACATTGTATTTATCAAAAGCACATAAGTAATGTAACAGAATGTCAAAAGCAAATGACAGAATCTTCCCCTCTCTGTTCTCTGTTGGTTATTAGTTAGATCTTTCTGGAGAACTCATCTGGAAGGGTGCTCTAGCTCTTGCCTGTACCCCACCTCCGGTACCTATTAGCTGCAGGGAATGACTGAGACCAGGAATGACTTGGCTTGGATAGGGGTTTGTCCCCCACTCCCAAGTGCAGGGAGGGAAGGAGCAGGGATGGGAGCATATAAACAGAATTCTGAGTATCTGAGACAGAAACTGACATGTTCCTGACCTGCCATATAAGAAAACAAACCAATTTAATTTATGCTGAAAAGAACCTAGAGCCAGGAAGCCAACCCCATGTGCTTTGGGGGAAATTAATTAAATCTGAGCTTCAATCTGCTCAGTGTAATAAAAGGATGTGAGTTCTGGGAAAGGGTTTTCGAAACATGTCTGAGCCTGTCAATTACCGCCAGCAGCTTGTACCCAGCCCTCCTGCTGTGTCTCATTTTTACACCACCTACATCTGGGATCCTCCTTCACTTTATTCCTTTCACTAGACTTGCCTCCCTGAATATTCATATATTCACACACACACACACACATGTGTGTGTATTTATGTATGTATGTACATATGTGTGTGTGTGTGTATTTCATGTACTATATATGGTGTTAAACTCAGTCAGCTCTGTCCCCTCCCAGGATCTGCTTGGTGCCTTCCCTTCAGAGGATGAGTCTTGTCCTTTTCTCAACCAAAGACTACATCATGTCAGCCTGCCAGCTTCAGTCCTTGTTTCCTGTCATCCTTCCCCATTTTCTCATTAATGTCCCACCATGTTCAGAAAGCACCAGAACCACTCACCTTCACTGTCAAAAAAAAAAGTTTAAAGTCCTTGGAAAGTATCTTGTTTCATTAACCAGACACAGAAAGTGGCCATGAGTCTAGAATTTAATGGTACACGAGTTCTAACAAGATAAGCTTCTTGTGATAAGTGACACTATGGGCCCTTTGCCTCTCTCTGAGAATGTCTAAATTGCCTATTTTAGATAAATATCTGTTTATCATTAATGGAAATATAAAGTGAAATTCTCTGAAACCCTTAGTATGAAATGGAGAAACTCAAGAGGGAGGCTGAGAGGCAAGCTGAGATCTGTAAGCAGCTGCTAAGAAATGTTAAGTCCTTCCAAACTATAGCTTGTCTACATGCTCCCTCACACATAGACTAAATGAAGTTTCTCATACCGACCTTTTTTAGGAGGCCTCTTGAATAACTTGCCATACTGAGACATAACTAGAGCTCTTTCCTGCTTCCTGTTCAGAAAACACTCCCTGCACTGTCACCTCCAACTCCAAGCACCAAACAGGTGATATACAACCACCAACAGCCTCTGTAGCCCAGACCACAGAGTGGATCTCTTAACGGTGGCCAACATACTCATATTCTCTTGACCTCCCTCCGTAGGAGGTGTGAATGGACCCTGTCCTACCTTCTCCTGTTAACTGGGTTGGGGCAGATATTGGTCTCCCTAGAAAGAAGACTGAAATCCCAGACCTTAAGGAGGCCATTGCAGAACAACATAGCTCAAGGCTGTACTTGTTCCACTCAATGCAAGCTTACGTATGAGTAAAAGATTTGGGTCATCTTTGGAAGGAAACTTCTGGCTGAAGTAGCCAGGGAATTATTTCAGAGAAAGATGATAAACATGACCAAAGGGCAGCAAAACCTCAACACAAGGAAAACATTACAAAATCCTTGAGCATGTTTTTTTATGATTTTCAGGCCAAATGTGTGACTCTTGGAGAGGATGCAGATTTTAAGGTCACAGTCACAAGGATGGAATGTGGAAAAAAATCATTAGAGCTAGAATCCTAACTCTGACATTTGACAAGTTACTTAACATTTCTGAGCCCCAGTTTCTTCATCTGGGAAAGGGGAAAACTACATCCATACCCCAAACCTCATTTACCATTAATGTGCTGGTGATTCCCAAAGCCACTTCTCTGTGCTAGTCTTCCCTCTGAGTTCTAACTGCGGAGCCAATAGCTAGGGGGAAACTCCATCTTGGTCCAAAGGCAATGCAAATTAATTTGAAATATCCAAACATGCTCTACCTCATCAAACTGTTTTCTCATGTCAGGAAATAGTATCACTATACATCCACTTTATTTGCTCACAACATACATCAAGTCAGTCACTGGGTTCTAATTTTGGTATCTCTCAAGTTGTCCCCTTTTCTCTATTTTTACTGCCTCTGTCTTAGTTTAGTTTCCCATCCTTTCTTTCCTGAATAGTTACTACAGCATCTCATAGACCCAGGGCTTATGATAGTGGCTAGCACCTAATAATATGTGAATGGTACTTAATCCAAAGTCTGGACTGAGGAGGCAGATAAATTATTCCATTAGTGTGATGAGTGCTATGATGTGTGGGGTCCTGCCACAGGAGGAAGTACTCAGTTGACCCATAAAAGGGTCACAATAAAAATGACCTTAAGAGGCATCTTGTATTCAATAATTAAAATATTTGAGTTCTTACTATGTGCCAAGAATTATACCAGACATAACAGTCACCAAGACACAGGCCTTGCCTCCATGGAGATCATTATCTTATGGTGTAGACAGGCTTACATGCCCAAGTTGTCTAAACATATACCCTTGGATATCCAATAATCATCTTAAAAGTGATCTGCTAGCCCCTCCCACACCACTCAATCGCACACACCAAAACTGTTCTCACTACAGTATTTCCCACATCAGTTAATGGCACCTATCTCTTGCCAGTTGTTTAAGTCAAAAACATTGATGTTTTCCTTGATGTTTTATCTCTATTAGTTCATATCCAGTTCATCAGAAAATCTTGTCTCTACCTTCAAAATGAATTCAGAACATAACTACCTCTCACTCCTTCTGCTGCTACAGTTATTGCAACAGTATAACTAATCTCCCTGCTTCTTCTTGAGACTAAACCTCCAATAGTCAATTCTCAACAGAGAAGCCTGATGGTCCTCAACTCTAGTTGGGGTCCTGGCTACAGATGATTGGTTGATTGACTGACTGATTGATTGGTTGATTGATTGATGTATATAAAACCATGAGACCAGATAAGATCACCAAAGTAATAAGTGTAAATGAAGGAGAGATCTAAGGACTGGGCTCTGGGACATTCCAATGATAAGAAATTGAGGGGTGGAGAGAGGGACCAGTAAGCAGAGGAAACTGAGAAACAGAAGCAAGCAGGAAAAGCAGGAGAGTGTGATATACTGGAAGCCAAGAGAGGAAAGTATTGCAAGGAGAAAGAGCAATTGCATAAAAAGTTCCAAATCAGCCAAACAAGATGAAGACTCAGAGCTGACCATTAGATTTAGCAACACATAGGTCACTCATGGCATTGAGAAGAACTGACTCAGATGAGTAAATGTAATAAATTCAAAAGAGAATGGAATGAGAGTGATTGGTGTTAGAAAGTGTAATCAACTCCACAGAGGTGCAGATCAATGAGGAAATAACTGTAGGAGGAAGTGGGACCCAGAGAGGGCTTTTTTTTTTTTTTTTAAGATGAGAGACGTGGCACATTGGATGTTGCTGAAAATGGTGCAGTCAAGAGGGATAAACTGATGATGTAGGAGAGCAAGGTGAGAACTGATGGAGCAATGTGGTATACAGGTGAGGGGACAGGAGCGAATGCCCAAGCCTAGGAGATGGCCTTGGCTAAAAGCACATACACTTCACTGCCGACAAGTAGAAAGAAGGTAGCATAAATTTAACTTATACCCTTGGATATCCAATAATCATCTTAAAAGTGATCTGCTAGCCCCTCCCACACTCCTTCTTCTAACTTTAGCTTAGAAGAAAGTATTTTTCACATGTAAGAGAATGTGGACAAAAACCAAAAAGGGCGAGTGAAGAGCTTGGAAGGGACTGTAGCTGTGGGTGGAGGGAAGGGTATGGATAATAAAAACCAAAAGCCAGAGGATTGGATGGATTCTGGAAGTTACCATGGCAAATTACTATTAGAGCTGAAAGAGTGGGTGTCCAATTGAGAGTCCAGGTGGGCATAAAAGGGTAGTTGAAGTTGCTGATCATGTGCGTAAAGCAGGTGCTCTTGGAAGACTGGAGCATCAGGAGAGATTGCAGAGAAGTTCTAGATGCATGGAGCCTAGAAATACAGAAAGAGGGCAGATGTGGCATCCTCGTGTTCAGCAAGCGACAATGGACTTTTGGGAGTGGGAAGAGAGAACTGGGAAGAAGAAAGACAAAAGGCTGCCCTGAGCAGATGGGATGGACCTCTGTTTTGGACCACTCATATCTCTCAGAAGGTGGCAGCTCAGCATTCCTACCTTCTGACCTATCGCAGAGGAGCAAAGAGCTGGAGGAAGTGCAGGAAGTGCTGACGCTTCCTTATAA